TAATAATAATAATAATAATAATAATAATAATAATAGTATTTTAGCAGAGTTAGAAAATATACTTTGAAAGGGTGACCATAAATACTCTCTCCACCTTCCCCAGTACCACTCGGATCTCCACCTTGTACTATGAAACCTTTAACTAAGCGATGAAAGATAGTCCCATTGTAATAGTCTTCCATGCATAATTGCACAAAATTTCGACAGGCCAATGGACATTCTTTCGCCCAAAGCTCAATATCAATGTCACCAACGGTTGTTTTCAAGCATACCTGCAGAACATAAATGTTCAGAACCTAAGTAAAAAAACCGAAGCGGCAATTGAAACTACCCAAAAAAGAACCAGCTAATTCTTCTATAGGTGCTTTTGATTTTATGACCCCGCAAAGAATTGTCACAAGTGCAAAAGCCTAAAATACTTATAATTTTTATTAGTCCTTTTTTAGTCCTTTTATCCATAAAATAATATGATTTGCCCTTCGTCAACTCGAAAAAATTTAGCAAGAAACAGTTTTTTTCTGATTCGACTAATTTCCAACAAGTTTTGAAATTCTCCACAACAGAACTGCACTCATAATCTACATTTTTATTCTAAAACTCAGTGCTTTAGCTTCAATGATCTGTTGTCACCATCCATATACTTCCGGTGATTTTAATCTTCTGCCTTCTAACCTGGAAGACCTACAAATAATATGTATTTTTCTATACATTTCTTCCCGTCATCCCTGAGGAATAGAGTTTTGAAAGATCTCGAGATAATAAAAAAAGAATGGTAAATTTAAGCCGATGTTTCAAAAAGCGGTCAGTAGGAGAATTAAGGCGTTCGGCAACTAAATAACTGGACAGGTTTAATTCTGAAAAAACCCAAGTTTTTGAGATATAGCCGCAAATCTGACAGTTTTCCGCAGCTTTCTAAAGACCTCGCACAAAACAGTCATGATCTAAAGAAGCTGAAGGTCCAGCAGCATTTAAAAGGAGAGAAGAAAGCAAAGTAAAATACCTTGCCGCTGGTGGCGGGCTCACTAATATAGATACTGCTCATCTGTCCCTGAGGTGACGATTTTAGGATCCGTTATGATACTGCAAACTGGACGATAACTTTGCCATGCGTAATTAAGCTTTTATTAATCGTTACTCCACGACCAGAAAGCTCAAGATGTCACCTGAAAACCTATTCGTCTCCACCACGATCATTAAAGCGACATCGCAAAACTTTGGAAACCAGAAGTTAAAAAAAACGCTGTTAGTCTTACAACGCTTACAAGATCTAAAAATGACAGACAAGCACACAGTCTCAAATTGTATCTAGAAATACAAACAGGGCAAAACCGTTTTTTTCGAACAGCCTCCAGGCACCCCAAGGATCACTTTTAGCTGCTTCCCAAACGATAGAAAAGTTACCGCCGAAACTAGCATTTTTCCTGTTGGCTCAGTTCCAAAAAAAAGTCTTGTTCCAAAATAATATCATACCAATTATGTCTATTCCTCGGCTAAACCCTTAAGAAATGCAAATCTCAAAGCTTGACCAGCTTGGTTACATGCCGGGGCTAGTATGTGCACTGCTTTTGCACTTTTTCGGCAGGTAGTCGATGCTGCTCAGTACTTTATCGTGCAGAGCGCACCAGGAGATATTAAGGAGGTAAAGGTAAAAGCTCGAAAGAACTCCTTAAAAGGTGGGCTAACTTTTGAATAGAAGGAATTTGGTTGTTGGGTAGAACAGCATAAGCTGTTAGCCGTTAAGTCATATCTCTGATCTAAACTGCAGCTTCACTGTCTATACACTTCACCTCAGTTCTATTTTGTCTTCAATTCTGTCAGAATTCGGCTCCGAATAAGTCGCTGCTAGTGATGAAAACTGTGAGGCGAAAACATCAAAAAATGGATGGAGTCGCTTTAGATCTGTTCTTTCTAGACCTCATTTGGCTTCATGAAAACAGGATGTTAAAGATGGCTGAAGTGTAAGCAAAGACTGGTCACAGGAATGGAGGGCGAGTGATTTAACGGTCACTGAAGACTGAAAAAGTTACTTGATTTTCGTGATGAATGATGAAGTGGCTCATTATTCAATTCAGTTGGGTTAATCACCGTAAGCTTCTCTGTCCTGCTTCCTCCTCGAACAGAAAATGAGGTCTCGTGAATGGAGGACAAACACACGCACGGAATTCTTGGAGATATTCAGTTGATACGAAAAGAATTGTTAGTCAAACGCGCTGCAACGGGCGTTTGATGATGACGCATTCAGCGACCTGAAGATGGACAACAAAAGTGTTTTTCTAATCTGACCATGAAAAATTGTTTTTCTACAACTGGAAGAAAAGAATAAGTGGAACACTTTTATGAATGACTGTTCAGTAATGCTGCGTCACATAAATAACCGCGTTGTAATCAAAAAAGATCTTTTTCCCTCACTTCTGGAAACCACTGACATTTGCTTACAACGACACTTTCTCTTTATACTTCCTCTTCTAATTGAACTCATTTTCATGCTTTTGAAATTTTTTCTACCTTGACTTCAACCAGGTTTTTTTTGCAGGGTTTATTTTGAAGCGATTTTTTTCTCTTCAGACAGCTTTATTACATCAAAACACTTATTACTT